CCATTAGCCAAATATACTATCAATAAAATCCTGGGTCGCAAGTACTCACCTTAATATTTAAAAAAAAAAAAAAAGATTGTTGAATTATTATTTATAATTTCCAAATTAGAATCTATTAATGGATATTCCTCATACATAATTCTAGAATTATAAGTATAGTATACATTTATTTTATTTAATGCCAATTGCTATTTGATAATATGATATATATGTCACATGTATACTTGTATATAACCTTTAGGCCAAACTGTTTGTACTGCATTTATTTCTGAAAAATTCTTATCAACTAAAATAAATTAAAAAATTTTTAAATGTTGTTTTCTTAAAGCTTGTACTCGGGAAATAAGAATACTTATTATGTCTTAATTTTTTTTAAATAAAATTAACAAGTAATTAAAAAAAATCCCAGTACTATCAACTATGCCTATAAGAGCATATAATTTTCATTTTAAGTTATTTGTGCTAAATATTATAATAATTACTATTGCATCTAATTTATTGTAAACTAATTGGTTAAATAATGTTATTAAAAATCTAAATATAGAGGTGGATAAATCAAGATAGTTTAATATAATTTGTAATCTGCATTCTTCTAATAAAAGCTTTGCAGATAATAAAGGATCTAAATGTCGATTATATATTTTCTGAGATTCTATTGACCACTAATAATAGATTTATTGAACAGTTATATATTCATATCCATTAATTTGATTTTTATGAACCTAATAACAAATTTCAGAAAAAGAACAAAAATATTATTATTTTTGATGAATTTTTTAATTTCAGGAGATGTTTTAATATGACTTGACTGTAAATATAACATTTTGTAAGAATATTGACTATAATTAAATCCAATTCAGAAAAAATTTCTATATTTATAATCCTTTCACAATGATACTTTTCTAAAAAGGTAGGTGTATTTCTTCATTTTTCTAAAACTAGATGTTTGACTTGATGCTTTCTAAGTTTGATCTGACAATTGCAATAGTATATTAAAAAAAAAAACTTTTTTTTTGATCCTTGACATGGTAAACCCATAAGTATCTGTTATCATCTAAGATCAATTTAATTATGTGACAACCAAATTCAAGATCAAAATTTTCTTTGTTAGAAAATTTATTTTTTAAAAGAAAATTTTGAAAAGATGAAAGCTCAATATTAAGATTAATATTTAACTTCTCATTTTCATCTTTATAAAAATCGTTGATATTATTCAAAGAAATTAAGGAGTTATATACAGCTTCAGTAATGTTCATATGACTAATTGTTGATTGGGGTTGAATTTTGTTTTTTAAACAATCTGTTTTAAGTTTATTTCAACATCTTAAACATTTTTTTAAAAAAACTCCTTTTTGTTTAGAAATTCATCATAATTTTTAGATACATGACAATATATACAGGTTTTATTATTTAAATTTGACATAGTAAATATTTGCAAGGTCCTAATAATTATCGTTATTATTATCGCTATAATTTACTAATACAATTTAACTATACCGATATGATTAATTACACGATTAACTACTCAAACGTCATCGTCGTTATTCCCGTTGCATGTTTTTTTTACCGGCAATCAGTATCCGAAGTTGCATGCAAGCCAGTAAGAAATCCGGCATCCATTTTTTTTTGGCGACGCTATGTAAGTCCAAAGGGTATGCCCTTGTCATGTGATGTTTAGTTATTTTAATTGGCTAATAAGTTTAGGTAAACTAGAACTGTAGATACTAAATCAACATGTAAGATTTTTAAAAAGTTGTGAACTATGTGTTAATCACATGATTTAAAAAGGGCATGCCCAATTTTTTTTCCATGCCCTGAACCCTACTAATAAACCTTCGTTACTCCCGTACTCCAAAGATTTGTATCTCCGATACTTTTATAATATTTTGTGAAATGACTTATATTAACCTTGCACACGTAAAGTTTGAAACACTTATTCGAAAGAAAATCTTTATTTTTATTAATTATTACTCTTTAAAAGTTAAAAAATACATAATACTATTATCGTTTTACATTTTGGCATTATCAGAATCACTTCTAATAAAAGTTGGTGGAACGCTTGATCTATTTGATCTGAAACGTTTATATGAAAATTAAGCTTTTAAAAAATCATCTGACAAAATTTTAGGTGGTTTTGACTAAAAGCGAATGTTACTAGCCGGTGACTCAGGTTTCACCCGTATTGGTACTACTACGTATTTGACTTTTATTTCTGTAATGTTAAATTGGCATATTTATTCATCTCGAATTACTTAGGCAGTTTAGGTATTTTCTATAAACTACTTGTTGTTTTGGCCTTATTATTTAAGACTATGCAGCACGTGATTATTTTTATTGAAATTTTCACTTATGGTAAAAATTTTATGAAAGGGTGAAACCCGCGACGGAGGTATTTACGTTGTTGATGCAGATCTTACTTAGTTAAGGTTAGGGATAGATTAATTACTATTTTAGATAGTGATCTGCATCAATAACGTAACCACTTTCACGGGTTTCTATCGCGGGTTTCACCCTGTCGTAAAATTTTTAACAAAAATTTTTAAAAAAAATTTTTTTAATAACAGAATAAATTTCATTATTTGAAGCTTCTAAAAAATATTTTTTTTCGAATTTTTTAAAAATTTTTCAAAGATCAAACCCTAGTATAAAAATTTTATAAGTAAAACTTAAAGAAATTTTTGATAGGGTTTTGACCTTAGAACAAAAACTTTGCTATAAAAATTTTTAAAAAATTTGAATAAATTTGTTCATAAGATTCAGATTTTTTTAAAAAAACAGCACTGACTTCAAATGTTATAATACAGACATTATGATAATCCCCTGAATAATTATAATGATTTTATTTTAATATTTACATCCTAGTAATTACTAAACATTGAAAATAGAAGAAAATGACTTTTAATATTATAATAAACACATAATTATTTGCTTATTTAGAAGGGTATTTATAGAAGCCTTCGCCACTTTTGCGTCCAAGCTTTCCTTCCCTAACAAGATTATCCAATACTTTACACGATGCAACAAGGTTAGCATCAACACTTTTCTTTTCTTTCCAACCATCGACAATAGATTTGAGCGTATCCAATCCAACAAACTGTTTAATAATGATAATTTAATCATTCAAATTTTATATTTAACAAATTTAAATAAATAATAAAAATATTTACATACATCAGATAATTCAAAAGGTCCCATTGGCATACCAGCTCCCAACTTCATGGCAGTATCAATGTCTTTGGACGTGGCATCACCACGTTCATAAAGACGAACTGCTTCCATTAAGTAAGGAACAAGAAGACGATTGACAATAAATCTTAAATTGTTTTAAGATAGACAAAATGATTAAGATAAACCATACCGATTATTGGTTAGTTGAAAATAATAATAAACTTATTATCTTATTACCCAGGAGTATCCTTGCATGTTACCGGTGTTTTCTGCATTTTCTTTGAAACTTCCATCAAACTTTCATATGTCTCATCACTAGTCTTTTCAGTTTTAATAACTTCCACTAACTTCATTCTTGGAACAGGATTGAAAAAATGCAAACCAGCAAATTTATCCCCTCTTTTTGTTGCATTTGCAATTTCTATAATTGGTAAACTTGAAGTATTTGATGCAAATATAGTAGATTGGGGTGCAATATTGTCCAAATTTCTAAATAAATCATGTTTTGTTTGAATATTCTCTACGATGGCTTCAATTATCAAATCTGCATCTTTTGCACCTTTAGAAATATCAGTACTAGTTTGTATGTTCGATAAAGTAGACTCAATTACTTCTTTTTGTTTGTTTTCATCATCCTTGAATTGTTTTTTAAGGGTGGATTTGATGGTATTTATTCCCTTTTCTATAAGGGATTCCTTGATATCTACCATAGTAACCTTGAATCCATTTTGTGCTGCTACTTGTACAATGCCTGCACCCATTAAACCAGAACCATAAACGGTGATGTTTTGGATTTCTCGAGATGATGAAGTGGAGAAAGCATTAGACACAATTAAAGGGCGAAGGAAGTCTTGAGTAAAGAATGGTCTAGAGAATTGGCACGCTGAACGAAAAAGTTGAGACATGATGAATTGAGATTGATTTGATAAAATTATCTCGATTTACATTTTTGCGATACACAAATTTCTAAAGATTAACCAATCAAATCGTGAATCAGTTTGAAAAAAAATTTTAAAGATATACCCGGGCAACGGATATGTAATTTTTATATGAAAAAAAGGCTGTCAAAGAACTTTTTTCTGAAGTAAATCAAATGATTAATTAACATTAAATAAGTTCAGATTCACTACCTTTCAGAGTACAATTTTTATCAACATATGTGCATTTGCTTTAAAAGAATCAAAGTTAACGAAGTGAGTATTACCACGTGATTATTCGGCGTTAACCAGCATCGCCATAAAATTCTACTATCACGTGATGATCGAAAAATTCATTTAGGCTAGGGTTAGCATTTCTAATAAGTATTTTCTTTTCCCTGATCGTGCTATGTTACACCAAGTCATGACTCATTATTGGTCAATTTGCCGTCTATAGTCACGTGATAGCGGAATTTTTATGGATCTTACCCAGGATCGCCAACAAAATTTTGCAGTCATGTGATATCAATAAAAATTCTTTAAGTTAGGGTAGGGTCTATGTTTTAATAGGATTTTTAGAAATTCTAATAGCAAAATCGCTCAAGGAAAACTTTTTGACGGTGATTTCTTATGCAGGTTTTTGAGAAATAAGCGATTTTTACAAAACGAACGTTTGTTTTGAACTTTCCTGATCGTGTTACGTTACACCAAATCGTGATTAACAATTGGATAATTTGTCGTCGATCATCATGTGACTGCAGAATTTTGTTGGCGATCCTGGGGTAGTTATTTTTATGCCGATACTGCCAACAAATTTTCAATATCACGTGACAATCTAAAAATTCCTTAGCGTTTCTAATAAGATGAGGCACTATCGGGGTTTATAGTAAAATTGCTCAAGGAATTTTTTTGTTAGAGCGCAAAAGGTGATTTCTTATGCGATTTTTGAAAAACGCTTCCTGATCGTGTAACGTTACATTAAAACGAGGCTCACTATTGGATTATCATCACGTGAAAGTGAACATTTCTGGTGTAGTTGCATTATATCGATATATCTTCCTACGAGGGTAGAATCGCCACCAAAGAAGTTTCAAATAAAATTTTGTTAGGATTAGGATTTTTCAAAATTTAATTTTTAGGATGGTGATTTTACCCGTTTATATCATCCCCCAGGATTATGCATGCGATGAAGCAAATTATGCGATTTGACCGAGGTCAATTATGCGATGTAGGGATTGGAACCGCCTAAAAATTTTCTTAATCGTTTAATCGTTTAACCGTTTAGCCGTTTAATTTGGCCGGCATTAAAATAATTCCGCCCCACGTCCAACATAATTCTGCCCGGAACTATGGAACTAAACGGTTAAACGGTTCTAATCCCTAGTTTTTACGCACTTTATTTACAAAATCAAATTTCCTTTTTGGGTTGTATTACCGGCACACAAAATAAGTAAATCCTTTATAAATATTCCATGACGCGTTTGATCTTGAACCAACAATGATAACGAAAATTTTCGAAAAAATAACAAATTTGTATTATATGGTAGGTTTCCCTGCCTCTCCCGCCCCCGATAACGGAGCTGATAGATCACCAGTAGGTTCCCCTGCCTCTCCTTCTTCTCCCCCTGCCCCCGTTGATGCCCCTGATGATAGAACTGACAGCTTTCCAGAAGAATGGTAATAAGTTTAAAAAATTATTAAGGCTAAATTAGGCCATACAAAATTGATTGGTTTTCATAACCTAGCCGACCCAAATTTGGTTTAATAACGGGGTTTTTTAAACAAATTTTTATAAAAATTATATATAAAATTAAAAAAAAAACCCCCGGTCGTCTAGGTCTGTTAAAAGTTTCTTGTTATGAAAATCAATAAATTAAATTTGTATTGCCTTAACTATATTATTATGCACTTAAATCATTTTTTTTACAAGTATACGAAGATGGCGGCGAAAACATAGGTGGACTCACACAGAGCTGAAAGCTCTACAATCTGGGATGGATAGGTTTGGAACTTCGTGGGCTAACATTAAAAAAACATATGGCAGTACTAAAGGCCCTTTGCGTCGAAGATCTCAAATGGATCTTAAGGACAAAGCAAGAGCTGAACTAGAGTTCAGGATTAAAAATAAATTACCTCGCGGAATATTCGCTCTTGTTAGGTAAGTAAAATAATATATTGTTATTTAAATTTAAATGTTAATTGATTTAATTATAATGTGTATTGAATTTTTCAATTAGGGTTCATAAAAATTTTAGACCTTAATCGTAGTAGATAGAGGTTGGACTCGAATATTCGAATCGATTCGTATTAAGTATGAATTTGAATCAATTCGAATATTCAAAACCATTATATAGTCATTACAAAACCATTCTTATAAAATGTTATAAGATTATAAGCAATTATTTTTAGCTGTTATACTATTATTATAGAACCATATATTATTCCATTATATTACTGTTAGACAACAATTGCACTATTATATAGCAAATATGTTATACAACAAATTGTTATAATAAATTGCAATATAAAAAACCTACGTCATACGCCACTATTGAAAATGGGTACAACAAACTTCTATGGCATGTATTCTTCATAAAGTTTGAAATTGTGTATATTTAAGTTGACCGAAGTCAACGAAACGATGGCTACATTTTTGCCTCATGATGCATTCGATGAATTTCTTATATCTTAGGCTTCCAAAGTTAGATAATATAGTCGACTCCGAACTCAAACTTTTGAAATTTTACAATAGTTCAGTATAACAATTGCAATGTGTTCTAGTAATTTTTATAACGAACTTTTTTCCCCACAATCTTGAGTTCGTTATTGAAAGAGTTGATTTAGCTCAAAATCGGTTGAGACACGTTTATTATGCAACCCTCTTCACAAATAAGTAATATTAAATGCAATCGCAAAAACGTGTTTATTTTGTTTATTTGGAATCAACCTAGGTGGATTCTAAATATACTTCGAAATCAAGAATTTTAAGAGTAAAAAATGTGATTTTAATTTTGAATATTACAAGATTCTTATACCCATAATCGAAAACTACGTAGTTCTAGAAAACCGGTAGATTTTTTTTTTTGTTGGGCTACCTAGGAAGATCGTTAGGAAGATTTGATAATATAGCACGTAGGATTTCTTTACATGATATGAAGGTCAAAAGTTATACAGTCACAAATACAGAATTTTGGTAACAATTAACTATAGTTTTAAAATTTTTTGTTAGTAGCATATTTTTAATGTATTTATAGAAAATGATCTACTTGTACTCTACCCTTAAGAAACACTCTTTAGTGCTCTAACAAAAAGTTTTCCTTGAACAGTTTTACTATGTATCTTGTCAACAGTAAACCCTACTGTTATGTGATCCCATTAAAAAAAATTTCGCTAAAAAAAACAATTTCGCTCTTAGGTTAGGTTTAGGGTATTACTAGTGAGTTGGATTTAGAAAGTCACGTTTATACCAAAATGTCGCAAGGAAAACTTTTTATAAGTATGCAGAAGGCAGTTGCATAGGCAAAATTTTGAGTTATGGAACTTATTTTTATTTCTTGAACTTTTTTCACGTTACACCTGATCTCGAAATCTGACTGGTATTTTAAATACCGTTGTCGTTATTAGCCAATCAAAATCGAGTATCAGTGACGGGAACATCACATGACAAATATATAGAGCTCTAAAAATACTTTATTTAGGGAAATTCTATTTTGACCTGGGTAAATGACCCCCTACAATTTAGGGTTAGTGCGGGCCGTTAATGTCAGCCGGGTTTTTATATTTAAAAACCTCGGCCGGCATCAAAATAATTTCGGCCCACGCTAACTCTAAATTTTGAAGGGGTCATTTTGACCCGGTCAAAATAGAATTTCCCTTTTATTTATTCAAATGACTCAATAAACGCAATATTTATTACAGCCAGAATATATATATATATATGTAATTACGGCTTTTCTAAGTATATACTTGAAATATTCCATTGCCTTTTAAAATAATTGCAATCCTCCAATTTATGCAATGCCACAAAGTTTTTATTAATACTATCGAACCATTTGTTATTATTCGTTTTCTTCAATAATTTTTTATTGCTGCATTCTGGATTCAAATAAACTATCAGAATTATAATATTTTAGAAGTGCATTAAAAATAAAATCTACAAGATTTTCTGATTCAATTGCATTTTCTTGGTTAGTTTTTATAATTTTATTTCGATTTTCATTCTTTTTTCTTTTATTGTCAATGGAAATGTGGTTACGGCAATCAACATATATTTTTAGATAGTTTGTTTATTAGATTTTATGCCTTTAACGATCGCTTTTGACTTTAAAGAATCAAAGAAAAAAAAATCACTAAGTCAATTATATTAATATTTTAATGAAATATTATTATCATTATCTAATCATGATGAATTATATGTAATCTTTATTTCATAGGCAGAAGTTCGTCTAATTTGTCAATAGATTCGATTTAATTTTACATTATTTATATATTTTAAAGTACTTTTAAAAAAAGTGAAAACCAATCATAATAAAGTAAAAAAATATATAAAAGGTTTCATTAGATCTGTAGTCAAAAATAAGATCTAATTTTCGTCTGTTTCAAAAAATTAGTTTAATAAGTTGATTTTATGTTTTGAGAAGTTATTACTATACTAACTTTTTAAGCTGATGAGAATTTAGATCTTATTTTTGTTTATAAAGTTTTACAGCTTTAATGAAACCTTTTATATGACTTTTTTTATTTTATTATGATTAGTTTTTATTTTTTTAAAAAGTACTCTAAACTGTATAAATAATGTAAAATTATTAGTCAATTAGACAAACTTTTGTCTATGAATTTTTATTATATAAAATTTTTTTATAAAGTTGGTATTAAAAATAAATAAAAATTACAATTTTGAACATAATGATAGAAATTTATTATATAGTGCTAGTTAAATTTTTGTAATATTAGTAAAGTTATTATGTAACAATACACTATTTAATATAAAGTTATATTGCAATTTTATAAGTTACAATATAATTTATATGAAATGCAACAAAACAATTTATGTAATATATACATTTTCACTTAAAATTTAATTTGTAGTTTAGGAAATCTGTATTACAAAATTGTTTTAAAATATACTATAAAATTCTGACATTACAACATTATAACATTATGATATTACAAAATTATATTATATATAAATAGTATATTTGTAATCATCATATTATTTATTCTAATTATATTATATATATTATAACATAATTATTAAAATATTATAAAAAAGTGTAATAACTTAGTAATGTAGATAAATTATCAATTTTTTAAACAGTAGGTTGCAAGTTCAAAATTTACTGATAATAAAAATTTGAATAATTACATATATAATATTTGTATTATAACAACTGTTTTCAATAATTGGATTAAATATTTATAATTATAATTATATTAATATAACTGTTAAGTTATAGAGTATTTATATAACTAGTTATACAAAAGGATATAAACTGATATTAGATATTACAAACTCAAAATAAATTTTTGTAGTTGTATAAATTTGTAAAAATTAAAAAACAAGAAGTCTATTTAAGAAAATCAAAGCAAAAAAGTAGTACAGATCTTTGATAGTATTATTGTAAAGATTAGACTTAAGAAATAAATAACAATATAAAAAAACTAAATAGACAAGAATCTCAGTTAAAAAATACTATCAACTAGGTTGTTAAAATCAGACCAAAGAAAAAGATATTAGATTAACTTGATATATCAAAATATAGATTATAGTTCTATTAGACTATCTGAATTAGAAGTTTAAAAACAAAACAGAAATATATTAAATTATTTTAGATATACTATAAAGTAGTATTAAGATTTAAATAAACTTTAAACTTGTAAAAATATAGTAGTTTAATAACTACAAGTGTTAGTTCAGTCATAGCAATACTAAGTTAATTGTAAAATAGGTATCAGAAGACTTCAGATAATTTATCTTAAAAATAAATAAGTCTTAAAATTAAAAAAATAATCTAAACATAATTTAGTAAAATTAATATAGGTTGTAAGTTCAAAGGATTAAAATAAAATATTTAAATAGAGATATTAAATATAATAAATGGTAAGAAATAACTTTTTAAAATAGTTAATATAAAAAAATTATTCCTTAGATTATAGACTAATGCAAACAAATTTGTCTGTGTTTTTGCATTTTTTTTAGCTCTAATCTATTTTTTTTAAAATGTTAAAATATATAAATAAAATTTGGTATAATAATATTTGAAAATAAGAATTACTTTTTT